CTAATTCCTATGATTGCTTTTGCAATTATTCACTGTTTCTGTATTTTTCTCCCACTCCACACCTTTCCAAAACTAAATCCTGGGCCACCCACAGCAGACAGTGGTAAGAGTAAAGTACACCTTAGGGACCATCACCTATGGAAGAGGAAAGCAGATATACAGGGCGCTTAGGGAGATGAGAGAGAAATAAGGAGGCCAAGAAAAAGGTCGCTTGGAATCTGAAGTCTGGAATCCCTTCTCTCGCTCCCATTTCCACAGTGGCCTTTCATTCTGGTCTTTTCTAAGATCCTTTGCACCTCCCTTCTTTACTCATCTTTCCCCTTCCTGAGAACCTAAAACACACAAAAAAGAGGGGATGGGGCAGGATAAAGGAGGTCGATGCGGGGGCAGATGGACATCTGTAATACTTTAAAAAATAAAAATACATTTAAACATTTTTTAAAATGAAAAACCATGTCATTCAGTTAAAAGAAAAGATGATAAATATATCACTATGGTGTCTGCATTCTGTTCTCCTCCTCCTTCCCATCTTCCAGGTACTACAGAAAAGCCCTTCGCAGAGCAGCTGCTGCCTTCCCATCCCAGGGTGGGGAAAGATGGCGTCATGGAGGCAAAGTGGACGTGCCTCTCCAAGGCTGTGGTTGTGGAGCTGGGGTAGGGCCACAGAGGACCTCAAATCCAGATCATGCACTGGAAAAATTATCTGATTTTACTCAGCACAGGGAAAGGGAATTGTTTGTCCAAATACTAGAGTTAAGAATTTTTGCAAAACTAAAATTTCTAGATTGTTCATAAAGGTTCCAGATGTTTCATTATTCTTCAGACTATGAAGTAGTCCATCACATAAAGGTTTGATGCCAGGTTTTCTTTAAGGCCAAAGTAAGAGGAAAAAAAAACCCACTGTAATCTGCTTTTGAAGAAAAGAATTCACCAAAACAAAATATTTTGTGCCTTCTATTCAGAAAGACTATTTAACCATTACAAAGGCTTTAATAAAATCAGGACTATCAGATTCCTGGAGACACATCGGAATGACCTGAGCCTCACTCTACACCATCAGAATCAGAATCCCACTTTGAAAGCAGAATCAGGTGGGGCCTTGGGATTTAAAACCACTCTTGTAGGTTAACATTATATTGGCTTCTTGTTTGGAAAATGTGTGAAAGATAAAAACAGAAAGCTTAAGAAATGGCATCAAAAGCTGACCACTGTATAGTTTAGGGCAACAAATCTCTAAATTTGGTATCATTTGGGCTCTAATAATGCATATTTCCAGGACTAGTCCAATCTCAAAAATGTGCATTATAACAATTCTCTGACATAATTCTGTTCTTAGATCAGCATTGTAAAAACATTTCTTATATATTCATTTTAATGAAAAGGATATAAGTCTTGTTAAGCAAAATGCTTAGTGTTGTGAGGAGAACGCTAAGGATATAAGTCTTGTTAAGCAAAATGCTTAGTGTTGTGAGGAGAACGCTAAGGATTTGAAGCAATAATATTAAATATATGTGGTATGTTTCCATGTGCTACCTGATTTATTGATGATGACAAGTCAGTCAAATTATGTCAGCTATTAGCATTGTGTTGCAGAGTTGAGCAACCTCTGATTGAAGTGCCCCTTTTGGCCCAGGAGCTAATTTCAGGATAAAAGTTTAGAGAGTAACAGCAAAATTTTTTTATGGATAATAAGCATGCTATTTTCTCACGGACACTCCTATATTAAATAAAATAGGTAATTTAATTTGTACTGATATTCATTCTTTCCAAGGGATTAGATATATTTTAAATTTCTATTTCTAAAGTGACTCATAAACACTTAATATACCCTAAACTGACCTTAATGCCAAAAGGTTGGTCACCTCTGGTGAATCTGTGCTGGACACTAGACACAAAGGGACTGATGAAGCACCACTATTGAGTGCTTATGATATTGCCAGGTACCCCAAAAGTCCTGCACATATATCATCTCATTTAATCCTCAGAGCAAACGTATTGTTATAATAATGTTTTTATTTTACATATAAGGAAAATGAGACTTAGATGAATTTGAAAGCAGTCATTTGGCCAGTCAGTGCTAGAATCAAGATCTGAACTCATATTTGTCAGATTCCAGACTCATGTGTCTCAAGAACCAAAGATATGTCTATGCTTGGCCAGCTTTCCTAAATGGACTAAGAATGAGGACGTTGTCATATTTTGTTGTTTGGTTAACTTTAAACTAAGGAACAGGAAAGTTGCTATTCACTTTCTGAACTGGGAGGGAGTATTAACAAGCAGTTTTCCTCTGATTTTAATCTGTGATAATGATGATGCTGAGCCAGCAGCAGGTGAGAAAGGCTTTCAAATTCTAGCCTTCAGCACAGCCAGTGAAGCTTAGTGGTTGAGATTGACCCATGCACCAGGAGGTCACTGGTTCAATTCCCCGTCAGGGTACATGACTGAGTTGTGGGCTCAATGCTCAGCAGGAAGTATACAGGGGGCAGCCAATCAAGTATTCTTTCTCATCATTGATATTTCTATTGCTCTCTCCCTTCCTCTCTTTGAAATTAATTTTTAAAATAATAATAATAATAATTCTAGTCTGTATACATGCATATTAGCATAACATTGGGGTGGTCCTGCTTGTCTTGTGGGATGGGAGTGTCCAGGTAGGGGTCGATGGGGGGAAAAGATCACATATGTAATACTTGAAACAATAATTTTTTTTAAAAAAAATGAACCTTTATCATAAGCACCGCCCATCTGTGAACCTTTCCAGAGAACAAAACATGCTTGTCAAATGGAAAAGCTCATGCAAAAGTAAAAGTTACTTCTTAGTATACTAAAAAGGGATCTTAGTTAATTTTTAGTATATTGTTTCAACTAGTTTTCTAAAATAACAATTAGGGAAGGGAGTTATATGGAACTTTTATATTTAAAAAAAGTGGGCAGTGGTAAAATTCTCAAAGGCAAGAAGTGACTAACCGCTAACTCCAAGTTATAGGCAAATCAATACAATTTCCTGACAAAGCTGGTAAATTTTAAAATGTTAAATCATAGCACAGGATTGGTCAGTTGCAAATGCAGAGCACTAACCAGACATTACTTCTCTGGCAACCTGAATTATCAGAACATAGCCAGAAACCGGAAACAAAGGCAAAGGCCTTGGAAAGGCCAAAGGGAGATGAAAGCCCCCATGCTTCCCTCACGCAGAAAAGCTGGGCTCTAGCTTAGATCTTCCTGACTCCTATTTTATAAACAAGTCTTCTAACAAACTTGGTAATCAGCAATAAGTGGAGCAGACACTAGTGGCAATATCCACAGTTCCTATAGCCGCTGACAACCTGGAAAAGGAATTGGCTTTTAATCTAGTTGTTGTTGTTTTTTGTTAGTTAGTTTGTTTTTTATCATGTTAGTATATTTATATGTAAACACAAAACTATTGGTATAAGATAGTGAATATGAACATTTACAATTATTTTCTGAATCTGACTCAATCCCTTGACATTAAATACAAAAGGAAAAGATTGTAAAATAAGAACATATACATTCAAGAGCTTATTACAGTATAAAATTATTGAGATCTGATCAGCTACCAACTTCATCTTTAGGGGTTCCTGGGATTTTCTTGGGAATATGGAGCACTGGGGACTCGATTCCATCCCTGGCATATCAGGCTGGTAGGCTGGGAGCAGACAGGAATAGGTTGGGTGAATGGGAAGGAAATAGTAATTGCAGGGGGACTGCTATACCCAGTCAGGAGTTAAGATTTTTACTGTCACAGAACCCACACAGCTCGAGCTCCAGGGTCTGGCAGGCTACTAGGCAGAAAGAAATGGTTATTTGAGTGGATAGGACCAAGCTGCATAAGGAAAGGAACCTTTTGGCAAGAGAAAAAGAGACCCTAGCACATTCTCCCAGGGACAGATTCTCATAGTAGTTTCCTTTCTCATATCTAGGCTCCTTCTCCCTCCTTCTAAGAAATTGCTTTTGGCTCTGGCTGCTTAGTGAGTTCATCTCTACTCCCAGGCTTCAAACCCCGAGGAATTGGGACAGAAAAAAAAAAAAAATCACAGTGGAGGTCTATTACCAAAATCAACAAAGTAAACAGAGGAAATCATTAGGTAAGGGTAATCTAAGCTGAATTAAACCAGTGTCACCACAAACCAGTATTTTTGGCTCCAAAAGGTAGCATTCTGGAGTGAGATAAGTCATTACGTAAGGATGAAGGCCTGAGGCAAAAACACGAAGAGTAGATATACCTGTGTCCTCTTCCACCACTCTGTGGTCTGACAACAGGAGACATGATCCCCAACCCCAGCTAGTCCAGATAAACAGTAGGGCACAAGAAGCAACGAGTCCTAAACTGCAACATGGAGCCCCAGGAACTTTTATAAAGGAGTAACTGTGTGTATATGTATTTACAGAATACCACCATATTGTCACATACAATATATATTTATATACACACGTACATATGGATCCATACACATAAGTGCGTGCACACATACACTAACAGAAGAGATTCGAATACACGCTCTAGGTATAAACGTGCTTGGCACTCGGGACTTTCTCTAGAACATATAACTTGGTCAAGCTTTCTGGGAAGGAAGGTGGATGCTCACCAAACCTCCCCATCAAATCCTAGTAATTGGGAAGGAATGGGAAAGAGATCTCCAGAAGGAGAAGGCATTGGGAAAGGAGAGCGGGCAGGTTCCTTTCTCACTTACCTTGCTTAGAGCCTCTAGCAAAAAATCAATAGCCACAATTTGGTTTTAATAAGGCACAGTTCAATGGCAGGTGCTAGGAATTAAGAACACATTGCTGCTGGCCCTTTCTAGTAACCATTTCACCGTATCTACCTAGCCAAAAGGAAAGGCCGCCCTTGCGTACACCAGGAGATACAAAAAAGAAGTTCATCCATGGCTTCAGTGTAACTGATGGCAGCCCATAGGCTCAGCGGTGTCCAGGGAGTTTAAGGAAGAAGGCTGGCTAGCAGGAGGAGGCTCATGGGACAGTTACTGACTCTCCATAGCCAGGATGTTGTGGCTGGATGGCACCATGCCCTCCCTTTCTGCAAACTCCAGGATTGCCTTGTAGCAAAAATAGTACTGCTCAGGGGTCTGAATGCTGAAGGCCCTCTGGGTCCTCATGCGGAACACCGTCTGGAACACATTAAGGGTACCGAGCTCCTCCAACTGTGCCAGGCAGATGTCCAGTGAGCAGAAGGTACCTGTCCCGCCAATGCCTGCACTGCAGTGGACCACAATGGGTGGTTCAGGGCACTGCCCTTTGGCGTGTGCACCCATGCTGCTGACGGCCAACCTCTGCTGCCTCCTGACTGCTCTCAAGAATTCAATGAGGGAAGCTGCTGAGGAGGGTACACCATAATCTGGCCAGCTCAGGAATTGAAAGTGAGTCACCTGGCGTTTCTGCCGCTCCTCTGTGTTATGAATTTCTAGCGTTGTTTTCTTATAATGGTTCATGTTCTCCACGCCTAGATTGGTCACTGTGAGGAAGCCAAATCGGATCCGAGAGTCTTTTTCTAAAGGCCAGTACTGACCACACTTCCTCCTGCCACCCTCCTCAAAGCGGGTGGTCATGACAATCACCAAGACGTTTTGCTCCCATACCATGAGCCAAAAATCACGGTAAGTATTCTCTAAAGGGCCTTGTGTACCAATGTAAGCATTCTTCTGCTTATAGCCATCCATGAAACTGGCATTGATGTAATCTGTCTGAGTATGGCCATTTCGTTTTATCAGTTTTACTCTTGTTTGGTCCAGGCAGGGTACATCCCCATAGCGGTTCTTCTCTAGGTTTCCTGGAGATATGGAACAGTGGAAAGTGCCAACAGGGTTCTCACGACGAATGTCTTCACACTCCTCATATATTCCTCGCTTTTGCCTGGTGCTAACATAATTCATCAGCTCTTGGATGGTCATGGCATGAGGACCTGGAACATGCACTGAGTCCCAGTCTAAAGCAGGAGGGAGGGAGAACAAGATGATCTCATCGGAGGGGTCCGGGTGGCCATTCATCTGGGGTAGGAATTGGAAATTCCAAGTGGCGAGGTCCATTTTGACGTACCCACCCAGGTTTTCTGGAAGGCACTCTCTGGGCAGGTGCTGGGTGACCTCGGATGTCTTTCATATCTGCATCCTCTCCCGGACTTTGTCCTTCAGGAGGAGGCTGATGATGGAATAGGGCACTCGGAACCATATGGGTGCTCCCACAATCAGCACTTTCTTCAAACGAGCTGGAAATGCCCCCTTCAGCAGGTTTAGGACTTTCTTGCCAAGATCCAGCTCAAAGTTGGTATAATTAGAACCACACATGTCATAGATAAACACCAGTCCATTCCTCCGTGTTTCAAAGTTATCTACAGCTCTGTTTAACAAGTAAAACAGAGCCTGAATTGTTGCACTGATTTGTGGGGATGATGCAATCTGGCAGGGAAGAGGGCAATGGAGGCTCCTGTTGGGTCCCGAACATCTAAGATGGTGAATTTTCCACTAAGAATCTCAGAACGGAGAGGTTCTTCATGAGGTTTCAGGTTCACAATGCCTTCCTTCCTTCCTGTTTCCCTGTGGGAGTGGAACAACTCTATGGCGCGGAGCACATCAAACTTCCGAGCCATGAGGAACTTTACAGTCACATTCCAAGAGAGAGGAGAAACGTTGTCCTGAACTGTCCACTTGTTAATCACTTCAAGAAACTGCTCGGTGGCCTGCCCCTCCTCCGGGGTCAGCTCCGGCGCCAGGTCGGCCTGGGGCGCGGTTGCGGGCTCCATCCCTTGCCTAAGGCTTCTGGCGTCCCGTCCTCGGGGCGGAGACCTGTGTGCTCTCCTCCCAGTGCTCTCCTCCCAGAACACTGCCATGGAGCCGGCCGCCCGAGAGGGGAGAGGAGGAAATGCAGACCCGGCCCAGCCTCTCCGCCCAGCGCCTCAGGCCGCCTTAATCTAGTTTTAAAATAAAAATAAAGTTACCACAAGGTGAGGATCAAGGGGGTAAAAGTTCAGAGCCCTGTATGCCTTGTAGTCATAAAAACATCACTGTATTCCATTGGTCTATATGTCTGTTCTGATGCCAGTACCAGGCTGTTTTGAGAATAGTAGTTTTGTAATACAGCTTGAAAACTGGTATTGAGATCCCTCCTACTTTGTTCTTCTTTTTCAGGATTGCTGTGGCTATTCGGGGTCTTTTTTTATTCCAGATGAATTTTTGGAGAGTTCTTTCTAGGTCTGTGAAATATGCCGTTGGTATTTTAATGGGGAGTACATTGAATCTATAGATTTCTTTGGGTAGTATAGACATTTTAATGATGTTTATTCTACCAATCCATGAACATAGTATGTTCTTCCATCTGTTTATATCTTCCTCTGTCTTTTTTTTTTTTTTTTCAGTGTCCTGTAGTTTTCCACAGGATATAGGTCTTTTATCTCCTTAGTTAAGTTTATTCCTAGGTAACTTAATTTTTTTTTGGTGCACCCAGATATCAACCCAAACCACTATACTCAATATTTGTCAAAGGATGCATGAACATACAATGGAGTCAAGACAGTCACTTCAATAAATGGTGTTGGGAAAATTGGATAGATATATGCAAAAAAAAAAAAAAAGAAAGAAAGAAAGAAAGAAACTAGACCATCAACTTACACCATACACAAAAATAAACTCAAAATGGATAAAGGACTTAAACATAAGACAGGAAACTATAAAAATACTAGAGGAATACACAAGCAGCGAAATCTCAGACATATGTCGAAGCAATTTCGTCACTGATACCACTCCCAGGGCAATAGAAACTAAAGAGAAAATAAACAAACGGGACTACATCAAAATAAAAAGCTTTTTTACAGCAAAAGAAACCATCAACAAAACAATAAGAAAGCCCACTGTATGGGAGAACATATTTGCAAATGTTATCACTGATAAAGGTTAATCTCCAACATTTACAGGGAACTCATACAACTTAATAAAAAGAAGACAAATGATCCAATAAAAAAGTGGGCAATGGACCTAAATAGATACTTTTGGAAAGAAGACAGAAGGAAGGCCAAGAGACATATGAAAACATGCTCAAAGTCACTAATTATCTGAGAGATGCAAATCAAAAAGACAATGCAGTACCATCTCACACCTGTCAGAATGGCAATCATCAACAAATGACAAGTGCTGGTGAGGATGCCGAGAAAAAGGAACCCTTGTGGGAATGCAGACTGGTACAGCCACTGTTGAGAATAGTATGGAGTTTCCTCATAAAATTAAAAATGGAACTCCCATTTGACCCAGTAATCTCACTTCTAGGAATATATCCGAAGAAACTAGAAACACCAATCAGAAAGGATATATGCACCCCTTTGTTCATAGCAGCATATTTCACCATAGCTAAGATTTGAAAACAGTCTAAATGACCATCAGCAGATGAATGGATTAGAAAAAGATGGTACAACTACACAATGGAATACTACATTGCTATGAAAAAGAAAGGAATGCTTACCATTTGCAGTAGCATTGATGGAACTGGAGAGCATTATGCTAAATGAAATAAGCCAGGCAATGAAAGAAAAACACCACATGATCTCACTCATTTATGAAAAATAAAAAACATTATAATCTGATGAACAAAAAGATAGATAGAGGCAGCAAAGTGTCTAACAGATTGTCAAATTACAGCGGGAAGTCTGGGGAGGTGGGAAAGAGATTAACCGAAGGACTTGTATGCATGCATATAAGTGCAACCCATGGACACAAGACACTGGGGATGTGGGATGAGGGCATGCGACAGAGGGTAGAGGAAGCTGGGAGGAGGAGACATATGTACTACTATGTGTAATATTTTAAACAATACAATAATTTTTTTTAAAAAAAAGACATTGCTGTAGTGCAGCCCATTTCTTTTAACTATATTAGCAATGACTATTAATAATAAGTCCACAAGGAAATTGTTGAACAATATTTGACCCACAGTTTTAAATGCAGGATAAACAAAGATTGGAGGGAGATTTTTATCTTTTAATATTTGAACTATATTATTAGTCTATTCAGACGGCCATTCACAATACTACTGACAAAATAGTGTAAACAATAAAAAAAAAATCTCACAGCTCTGAAGGCTAACAATCCAAGATCAAGTTGCCAGCGGGGTTGGTTTCTAGTGAGAACTTACCTCCTGACTCGCAGATGGCTACCATCTAGATGTGTCTTCACATGGCCTTTCCTCTGTGTGTACATTTATGGCATCTCTTCCTCTTCTATAAGGACATCAGCCCTATTGGATTAGGACCAAGGCCTTATTACCTCATTTAATCTGCCCCCACATTAGCATTTATCCTCTCTATGCCTTCTTTCACTCTCCCCCTCCCCCTTCAACCACCACACTGCTGTCCATGTCCATGAGCTCTCTCTTTGTTTTTGTCATTTTTGCTCAATCACCCTCTCCTCCTTCAATCCACTACTCCCAGAGCTGTCTGCCTGCTCTCTATCTATAAGTCTGTCTCTATTTTGCTTGGTAGTTCAGTTTGTTCATTAAATTCCACATATGAATAAAATCATATGGTACCTGTCTTTCTCTGACTGGCTTATTTCACTTAGCCTAATGTTCTCCAGGTCAATTCATCCTGTCATAATCATTTAACTTTAATTATCTCCTCAAAGATCCTATCTATCGTTACATTAGAGGTTAGGGCTTCAACATATGAATTGGTGGGGGACACAATTCAGTCCATAACACCTGTGAATAAAATACTTAGTTTAAAAAGGAAAGAAGCTGAAACTAGTTTGGCTCAGTGGATATAGCATTTGGCCTGCAGACTGAAAGGTCCCAGGTTCAATTCCAGTCAGGGGCATATACCTTGGTTGCGAGCACATCCCCAGTGAAGGGTGTGCAGGAGTCAGCTGATCGATGTATCTCTCTCATTGATGTTTCTAACTCTCTATCTCTCTCCCTGCCTCTCTGTAAAAAATCAATAAAATATATTTTTTTTTAAAGAAAAAGAAAAGAAATTTAAAAATAAAAAAGCAAATATCCTGTCACTCTGCTTCCTTCCCCAATTAACTGAGCAGCTACTATGTGCTTGCTAAGTACGTGGTAATGCTCTGGAAGATGTATCACAATAGAGGAACCCACTATACAGTAGAAAAAGGACAACCAAATGTTTTGTTATGTAATTTCTTAGGAGAGGAATAGTCACATTCTTTTTTTTTTTTTTTAAGAAATGCTTTTAATAAAAATCAGAATACACTAAGTGATGCATACACCTCAGTATGACAGGCTGAGAAACCAAGAAAAAAAAAAAAGAGTTCTTTGTTGCAAGTGCAGCACAGTCTATCAGGCATGGCCACCTGCCAATATTCTGAGAAATAAAAACAGAAAACTCACAAGAGAGAAATTAATATTCTAATGATGTTTCTAAGATGTTGCTGAACACCATGGCAAATACTCTTCTATCTTTCCATCCTGTCTCTCTTTTCTTTTTCCCCTCTCAATTTCCCTCTCTTCTTATTGCTTGCTTATATTTTTAGTGACTTTCCTGTGAAATCATTCATGTGGTTGTTTCTAATTAGAGTCTTTTATTCAAGAAGTAGCCTGGTGACTATTAAAAGTTTCAGTTCAGTCTTGGTCATTTAAGAAAATTTGCAGTTCAGTAAAAAATTTTGAAACTCACTCTCTTGCATAGGGTAGAGAGTAGCAGGAATTTTTATTTCCACTTGGGACTTGCTTTGACTCTTTTTCCCATTCCATTGTTATTATTATTAATTTTTATTGTGAGTGATAGATTCAGCCTTCTGCCTTACCTATACAAATGTACCCTATAAAGTAGCATTTTGTACATACATTATTCTAGAAAATATCTGGAGAGATGCCATTCTGGTATGACTCTTTGTCATGAAGACAAAACCAAGAAGTCAAGCCAGTAGTGACGGCTATGCAAAGTGCCAGGTTCCTCACTGCCAAACCCATCACTTGCCATTCTAATGAGATTCCAATTCCCCGGCAGTTGAAGGCAGTGTTGAACAGGCCGTGTCATTTCAAGGAAATGTTTAAATGGAATATTTTTCACCTTTGATTTGTGAGTTAAGGTTCCTGTTTTAAATTTGTTTTGCCAGACGTCTAAGGTACACGGGAGGGTATAATCTCTGTTCTGCTACAATAAAGCTGCCTGCCCACGGGACAGCCTGGGACGGGTTGTAAATATCCTATAATTTGCTGAAAGTACTGAAGCGCAGCTTTGTATCAGGTTCTTATTCTTCTTCTTTAAACCTCCTGACATTTCTCTTATCAAGATTCAACAGCAGGAGCCCTGTAGCTCGGCTGCCTTTTTATGCTTTAACACAAGACTGAGAAAACATTGTACTTCTATAGAAACTTTCTACAAAGTTGGGTCCCAATTCAGGGGGGAAAGTTCAAGATTGGTCTGCATAAAGTTGTCTGTTAAGTAGTCACACTGGACATTACAGTGCTCAGGGGGAAGACAAGACTGAAGTGGGGAGCAGATGCTATACAAATGGCCTTTGAAGTAAATTTTATAATTGGAATACTGAAATTAATGGCCATGAAGTTGACTTGAGCAAGTCCTAGTCCAATGAGCAGCTGTAGAGCCAATATACCTCCCTGCTGATTTGCTCCTCTCTTCCTCTCCTAATAACAGCTCTCACAAGTAAAGATTTTCGGTAATGTCTAAGTGTCCGGTGCCAATGGGGAGTTTCCTGTGTAAAATAGTCACAAATTAATGTCCCACTCTCCATCTGCACTTTGGCCTCATAATGTTCCCTAACCTGTTTAAATTTC